TAACACAATTTTCTAGAATTATGGATGATAAATAAAAATTCTAACATTCTATATGCAAGTGTAATTAATACTTTTATATATGTAATAGTGTACACTATATTAAAGATCTCATATGCTATAAGTTAATTTGAAAAATAATGATAAATCTAGTAAAATATAAAGAAGTAATTTTGCGGATACTTTGCTATTATAAAAGCATAATAAATGTTTGCATCATGCTAAAAGTAAAATATGAAGAAAATGAAAATAAAAAATTTTCATATTTGACTTTGATAAGTTGATGCAAAGATAGATATTGGCTATTTTTAATTGACAATCTTATGAATCTTAAATTAAAAATAAGAAAGTTATAGAAAACAAATTAAATAACCAAAAAATCAAATTACATATTTGCAAAGCTATGAAAACAATGTAGCTCAAATAATTGAAGTATTAAGATTATTACTTAACATAGATGTTTATAAGAATAAATCTTCATCCAAATGTAGAATAAATTAGTTTATTGCAAGGAAGAATAGAATAAATGAAAACAAAGATAGATCTTTGAAAATATTACAATATCTTCTAAAATTCCTAAGTATTTTAGATTCTCTAGTCTTAAACAAAAGCAACAACAAAGTTCTAAACTAGAAGCATATGGGAATAAAGACATTGACATAAATCACCTCAAAAAGAAATCAACAAACAATAAACAAACCTTGTATACAAATATTAAAGTTTATTTTTCAATATTTTTGTTCATCATACCAAATGTGAGCTAAAGTATATACTAATTTTTTTTCTATTGTCACAATAATTCTTCAACAAAATAGAAAAACAATAAGCCTAAATTGTATGGTTTTTGAGAAAACTTTAAGCATATTGAATAAAGTTAAATAAGAGTAGTACTTCCAAGCTAAAGCTATGAACACTACTATTGTATTGGTAAATCTTTCTTTCTCTATTTTTATTAAATTTAAGATACTTCATAAGAAATAACATAGTAGACATGCATATTACTCTAATTCTTTTAAATGGCAAGCATATGTTCATGTCTAATACAAAAAAAAAAAAATCAAATTTGGATATTATGTCAAAAACATTTATGAAAGAAATATAGCATTTGGGATCTAAATACAAGTAAGATCATTGCAAATATGAAAATAGAATTTTGTGAAGTTCTATATTTAAAGAAAGTGATTTACATAAAGGAAAGAAGTTTTAGATTATAATTGATATTCTTAAGATAAAGGTTGATGTTCTTGGAACTTTATGTAGTGTTAAAAAGACTTAAGATCCTATTCTTCTTAAAGTAATTACTAATGATGAAATTTCAATCAAAGGATTTTAGAAGTTACAAAGAAAGAAAAAAATTCTTAATAAATTTAGCTATTTAAATTTAATAGTATTTATTCTAATAAAAAAAAATCTTCTTATACATTTTAAATCATATAAAAGTTTAAAAAAAAATAAAAATAGAAGAAAGAAATGGATAAAGCAAAAGATTTTACTTTATAAGAGCTAAACATTAGATGTGGAAAAATTGCTTAATTTAAAGAAATATATATAAAATTTATCTTTTTGTTTAAATAATTATAAATAGTTCATAAGAATTACTAGGAGATTTTTAAATAATAAAACCAATGTGGTAGAAAATAGATATGCTTAAAAGAAATACATAAATTTAATAAATATTTTTTTATAATTAAAATTATTCCTATTTTTATAATATTGCTAATAGTTGCACAACATGATTTGGAAATAGAGTAGTTGAATATTACTACTACTTTATTATATAAAAATTTAGAAGAATAAAAATATCTTCATTGAAATGAAATATTTGCAAGATTTGAAAAAAAAAAAAAAAAAAAAAAAAAAAAAAAAAAAAAAAAAAAATGTTGTATACACTAAAAAAGATCAATATAGAATCAAAGCAAAGACTTAAGCAATGATGTCAAGAATTTGATGTATTTATAGTAAATCAAGATTATAATTGTAATTATTGTAAGTGTAGTATATATTTTAAATAAATATAATAGTCTAGCTTGTATAATTATATTATACTTGATTGGCACATAAATAATATATTATTTTTGGTAATTAAAAAGTATTATATAATTAAATAAATAATTCAATTAATTAAAAAAATTAATATAAAATAAGCAAGATTTTTCTTAAAGCTCTATGAATTGAAATCTAAAAAGAATACAAAATAAATAAACTTTTTGTATTACGAGAAAAATATATTGGTAATATATTGATATATTTTGGCATGAAATAAATAAATAAATAAGTACTCATCTAGCATCTCATTTTAGATTATCTTTAACACAATTTTCTAGAATTATGGATGATAAATAAAAATTCTAACATTCTATATGCAAGTGTAATTAATACTTTTATATATGTAATAGTGTACACTATATTAAAGATCTCATATGCTATAAGTTAATTTGAAAAATAATGATAAATCTAGTAAAATATAAAGAAGTAATTTTGCGGATACTTTGCTATTATAAAAGCATAATAAATGTTTGCATCATGCTAAAAGTAAAATATGAAGAAAATGAAAATAAAAAATTTTCATATTTGACTTTGATAAGTTGATGCAAAGATAGATATTGGCTATTTTTAATTGACAATCTTATGAATCTTAAATTAAAAATAAGAAAGTTATAGAAAACAAATTAAATAACCAAAAAATCAAATTACATATTTGCAAAGCTATGAAAACAATGTAGCTCAAATAATTGAAGTATTAAGATTATTACTTAACATAGATGTTTATAAGAATAAATCTTCATCCAAATGTAGAATAAATTAGTTTATTGCAAGGAAGAATAGAATAAATGAAAACAAAGATAGATCTTTGAAAATATTACAATATCTTCTAAAATTCCTAAGTATTTTAGATTCTCTAGTCTTAAACAAAAGCAACAACAAAGTTCTAAACTAGAAGCATATGGGAATAAAGACATTGACATAAATCACCTCAAAAAGAAATCAACAAACAATAAACAAACCTTGTATACAAATATTAAAGTTTATTTTTCAATATTTTTGTTCATCATACCAAATGTGAGCTAAAGTATATACTAATTTTTTTTCTATTGGGCCATAGGTTTTAAAAGATTGCTTCTAAATCAATTTTAGAATGTATTTTAATATTAATAAGAAAATAATTGTGTTAAAGAAAAAAAAATATATCTATATAAATAAAATATTTTTTATATAGGACCACAGAATAAAAGACTAATGATTAATAGCCTTTTAACTAGAGAATCAATCCTAAAAATATACTTGGTAGAATGCATAGCTTAAAAGATTACATTGTTTCAAGATTGTAGTTGCTTAAATACTAATAATATAAAAGTTCTATTTAGACATCTCAAATTTAACAATATTGATGAATATAGAGACTATAGAGATAATATTTCTATAGTTATTGTGCATATAGATTGTTTAATAAATGATATGTAATGTATATCATAAATCTGTTTTTATTTGACAAAAATACTAGTAACTATCCCATTGCATTAGTCACACTAGATTTTAGAGTTATGTATCAAACCTTAAATTTTCATGCATATTTCTAATAGAAATGATAAGTAGTTTAAGTTTCATTTAGCATAACCATCTCACTTCTTGTAATATATATATATATATATATATATATATATATAAGATCTTTTTATGAGTTTCTATGCAACAATTACATCCTAATGATAACATTTGCATGATTACTTACATATATATTATCTTTAAAATTAGCCATGACTAATTAATAAAAATAGTTAATTTAGCACATTTACAAGGTAGATAGCAACTCAAATGTTTTTATTTTTATTTTAGTAAATATGTTTATTGTAATAAAAAGATGAATGAAATAGTTATTAATAACCTTTTTGAAAGAACACTCATGGAGAAAATACAACAATAATTCAAGATTAACTTATTATATATATATATAATTTATTTTTTAATTTATTAATTGATTCTATACAATTTTTTTGATAAGTAAATATTAAATTTATAAATAAATTTTTCATAATACCTAATTTTTAAACTATTTAACATCTTTTTCTGCTTATACAATCTTTGTAATTGACAAGCTTGACTTAGTCTCACTTCTAGTCAATTTACAACTAAGACAAATCTGGGTCAATAGAATATAGCATAATTGTTGATTTTAAATGAAAATGCTCATTAGTGGAAGCATATCACATGTAATATACTAGTTTACTGAAAATGTAATGTCAATAATGTAAAATAGTGGGTAATGCAATTATTTTATAACTTTGCAATCATATAATTTTGAGTTAAAACTTAAATAATAATTCGTTATTAAATTTTGTACCCAAATAGTGTTAAAAAAAAAATACAAATAAAAAAATAACACTTGTGCATATTGAGTTTTAATATACTTCAACCACGAATAAACAACCCGAACGTAATCCAATATTTGCCTGCTCAAGAAATCACAAATCACAGTTTACGAAGAAACACTTCCGTTGTTCATTCCCGACAGTAACTGTACTTGACTCTATTCAAACGACGATTGTATTCGTCTTTGTGTTTGTGTTAGTTTATGCAGTCAACGGTGAGGGTCAAATTTCAAAATGTTAGCCGAAGAGCATTTATGTAGCACTATCAACTCGTTCAGTAAGTTCAAACCATGATTGCAAGGTTCTTCAACATCTGGATTAAGAAAATAAAATTCACTTTTGAAGTACGATACAATTCTTAGAATTTTACATTTGCTCTCGTGTCATAACAACAATGCTTCATGTCATTAAACATACCTGGTGAAATAGGAGTGCAGTATAGCTCAGACTGATATACAATGGGTGTGTTACTGTGCACAACATTAGGAAAGTCACAGGCTTACATGACCTCCAACAAGCACAAACCCCGTAAACAACAAAAGCTAGAGTCGAGCCACAAAATATTAACTTTGAGTAGGCAGCGGAAGAAGACGGGTTTGAAACGGAACATTTAACTACTTAACGAAGGCACCCAACAACGGGAAAATGCTGAAGCCAGGTTCAATTTCCAAAGAATATAACCAAGTAGTGCGAACATCTTGACATTCACATATATTGCTAGACGATGCACTTAAAGCGCAATGTCGCAAAAGATTCACTTCCCCAAAGGTTGCAAAATGTCTACCGCTCAACTACTGGAACTTACGAATAATGTGCTGCGCTTGTCTACGCAGACCACGTAATCCAATATGATTCATTCCTAACACGGTACGATCCGACTGGGGAAATGAACAAATTTAGGGCCAACTTCTTGAACGTCCTACAAAAACAAAAAGCAAGGGACTACTCCACACATTTACACCTAGCTATCTGCTGCTGGTTCATGGTCTCCGTTAGCCGCTTCCTCCCCAAGCTCACTCTTACCATCCGCACTCTGTTCTGCGTCTTCAAACGTCTCCTCTACGACTTGATGAGCATCTTGCTCTTGTCCGTCCTCTTCTATTAAGTCCTCGTTCTAGATTCAGTACATATATCATGAACCAGGATCAGTTCTTTAAAATCTCGGCACAGAATTACTTTCTTGCTATCTAGAAACTTTCTGCAGAGTAATTTCCACTCGCAATCAGTAAAATCACCCAAATGTAACAACGATCTGTACAACTTCAAATAAAATGTCGATAAATTATTACCTCTTCAAAACCATGGCCGTTTTCTGCAGGCTCGTCTCCAGTTATGTCCAAACCTTGCAAGTCTTCGGTTAACTCCTCCTCAACCCCGTTGATGAAGTTCAAGTAAGTTGCTGCAGGGATGTACTTACTCCTATGTCACCAATAGCCAATTACACAATAATACGATTTTAGAACATATTCTGTTGCCTCAAAATCCTAGTCAGCAAGTGTAAATGCTGAACCATACAGTATCCACGTGAGCAGCAGATTCAATACGGCCACCACTTCGAACAACAGCTCAAGCTACAAACAGAACTTCCTTACCTCAGATCTTTCATCTTGGCCTCAGTAGCTAACGCAGATTCCCAGTCTGAAAACAAGTTGGGGTATTCTTCTGGATCTGCCAAAGATTCTGCAGCCTTTTGGTTGATCTGCCAAAAGAGAACCATAAGGAGAACATTTAGGAAAGAGTGTTCAGTCAGCGCTCTACAATCTTTCGAAACTTATCAACATTAATAAACAGGCACATCTCCAATTCAAGGTGGGAATTCAATGGCCTTTAGCAGTCTATGGAATGAGACAATTGAGAAAAAATAAAAAATAAAAAATACATACCTTCTTCAAATCATTGCGCCAAAGAGAAACTATTCTCGACACGTGACTAGGGGCATATGTGCGTGCCATAAATGCAGCTTCAGGGATACGGTTGCTGTAAAACAGAAAGAAATTACATAAGGCATAATGGTATACCTGGATGACTCACTAGATTATCTCTTATGTACACGGCTGACTTCATCTATTTTGGTTAACAGGTAAAGCGTTGACACAAGATAAAGCAAACCATAGATCTCAATTTATTAAACTCAATAAGCATTTTCCACATTCTGGCAAATAAAATACCTTTCAATAAGGAGATCAATGCATTCTTCCACCTTTCCAAGCAAGAACAAAGACACAAAAGCAACATTGTTCTTTCCATTCTCTCGGGCAGACGCAGCAAGCCTTTCTAGTCCCTCAGCATCGCCCACTGCCGAATAGAGAAGCAGCAAACCACTTTGATCTTTGGCTTGATTCAGGCATTCCTCTGCAACATCCAACTGCAGAAACACATGCCATGCACCGAATGAAATCAACGTGTGCAAATGAAAGAGCATGGACATTACTCTAGATGTATGTTAGAGCTTTGAAAAACACACACGCATCTGCTTCAAACAGACCTATACCTTTCCAGCTGACATTGCCAATTCTCCCAGTTGCTTCCACTTGGACTCACTATGTGATTCCTCAGCAATAGCCTGCATTGGTTAACATATGAACATGTTCTAGTTAGTGCATCTGTAAATTAAACTTGACGTAACCGAGTCTAAATGTAACGAACATAATGAATGAATTTTCAAAATTCATGTTATTAAAAATACAACCTTTGCCATATCAAGCTTCCCAAGCTGCACAGCAAGATCGAATTTGTAATCAGGATCTGTTGCGACATTGAGGGCATCCTCAAGCATTCCGCGTGATTCCAAAAAGCGCGCAACACTGTCATTCAAGTTCTTTGAGTGAGTGACAGATGAAAGGAACCATCGTAAATTGTTAGAAGACAAAAGCACAAGTATGGACAAACAGCATTAAAACTAAAGCAATAGAGAGCTGACAGAGGGCATCATGGAAAAGTCTAAGATTAAAATACAGAACTCATCGACCTTCTAAATTAATCAAAAAGAAATAAATCGTACCTGTTCATGTGTTCCTTGGGAATTGTTGGAAGGACTTCCTCTGCTCTTTCATAATCCTCTCGCAATATGAGAGTCTTGTACTCGATCAAACTCAGCAGCAGCGTGTAGCTCATGATGCTTTCATTTCCAACAAAAAATGATGTTTATCATTAAAATTCGGATTTTAGAGCGGACTCCACTACTTGACAGAATAAACCCTAGCGCCCATTAGGGGTAGCATAGTCCGATTCGGGGAACAGATTTCTGGATGACACAATTTAGTGACACAAAATGGAAATGAGAGAAACTACCAAAACTATTCCAGCAAAAACTCTAACTGATCACAGCTACACTAGTGTTCCACAAACGATTTAGCATACAAATCACTTAGCACGTAATACTCACTTGAATTCCTTGTCAATCAGGTACACTCGACTTTGGTTTGCTAAGTAGCCAAGCAGGTACATCGGACGGTCCAGGTGAAACATTGTCGTAACCTGTGGAAGAAAATGCAACAGAAGATTGTATGAGTGAACCGCTAAAATACTACTGCATGTCACAAATGAGAATGCTTAACTTTCTCGAAGTGATCAAAACTTACTTCTCCACCAACACAGTAGTTCAAGCGCCACGCTGAGTTGTTATATATGAAACAGTCGCCCACCCAAATACCCGTACGAACACGCTCCGATACTTCATGAAGTAATTCAAACGCATCCTCAACACCTTGCTCGTCCACAGGCTTGCCACTATCCAAATATGATGTTACAACGTCCCTCTGAAAGGCAGCACACAATCATGAGTTGACTGAATTCCACCCAAAGAGTGTTAATGACATGAGCAAATACAAATTGGTGTAGGACAGAAAAAGATTAAAGAGAGCATAGAAATATGATATTGATACTTACGTTGTATTTGAGGATATAAAACGAGTTATCGCTGGCAATGGTAACCAGATCTCCACTATCGGACCAGTAGACATTCTGCAACCAGAAACGAATAACATAATACGGTAGTTACCAAAAAGCCAAAAAGATTCGTCATCCTCGTGAAGTCACATCTTCGTAGCCCAGCGAAGGATGGCAGGTTTAAGTAAAAACACGAATAACATAATACGGTAGTTACCTTCACAACAACGTCAATTCTCCGAACAACTCTGCATTCCACCCAATCATAGAAACATATGAACTCATTTGTTCGCACTGCAAGCAAAGTTCCGCCATAGATGGCTTCAGCGGAGAAAGTAGGCCGAATACTTTTTCTCTCCTGAAAACACAAAATATCCAAAGTATATATAAACTTAGAATGGTTTATGCCAGAGTCAATATAACACATTAAACAGTCATAAGTTCGTGTATAAAATCATCACAAGTATGACCAACTAAGAGAAAAAAACTCATGAAAGATATAACTTAAACAACAAATATCACCTTCAAGGTATCATTCGGAATCAGGGCTTGGAAATCCAAATAAGTAACAAATTATATCTTCATTCAGAAAATCTAAACCAGAATATGAAGTTGAAGCCCTCATAACTGCTGGTGATTACACAACAATCTAGCGTTCAAAACTACATGTAAGGAAAGAGATATTAGTATAAAAATTATTCTATGAAGGTTCTGAAAACAAACCTGCAAAGTCTTATTGAATATTTTAATTTTAGAAGTACTCTCTCGCACAGCATATTCACCATCATTGGACCAAACAAACTCCAAAGCAGAGCCAAAAGATCTGTTCCTCCATGCCAGGGCAGTATAAATAATGTACTCTCCATCACCGCATACGACCACAAATCTGCCATTAGGATTATGCTCCAAGCTCTGCACAACAAGACACAAACACACACATCCATGAATATTTATAATTGACATGTTTCAAGCACAGACAATAATTATGACCAGGTTACACCTCAAGCACCTCAGTAATGAAGTGGTGGCAGAAGCTTTCTAGCAAAAGGCACAAATTAAGGCAAACTACGCAGACCAAGGCAAAAATTGAACCATGAGTGAGCTTTCGCTGAAAAGCCATGAAAAAGTTCTGTAACCTAGTGCATACACAGAGATACAGCGTACCTCGAAGTTTGCAATATCAGGATAAACACATAGTAACCTGATAAGGAACCAGGCATAAACAAATCACAAGCCTGTAACTATGAATCTAACCTGAGGGTAAAGGTCGCAACTTCCGAGTTCTTTCACTGCCAAAGGCAGTCGCTCCCCATCGGTGATCTGTGAAACCAGATGCAAGCTCTTAAAAGTGCCCATATTCAACGACTTCAATAAGGATTCTTGTTCATGACGACCAACCCACAATAGCTAGCCACTCGGAACTTAGTGAATACCTCAAAATCTGCTGGGACTGCTTTAATATTTACAGTCTGTATTTCATTCTGCTTGGCCCAGATAATCTTTCCACTGTTATCCATGCTTGCAACAGGTTCCTCACGTCCAAGTTTGATCATAATGGTACCTTCATCGTACCCAATCGCAACCCTGGCCAACGAGAGAACAGTGATAGCAGGGATAAGTACGGTAATGACAAACAACCTAACATATTTACAAAGTGCAATACCATATGATATAAAAAACAATAGCAAGCCTAGTTGAAATTCCTAGAGGAAGAAGATCGGGCAACTAAAAACAATAAATACCAAATTTCGCATTAACTAAAATGAGCATGCACTCACTACTTAATATTGTAATGGATATTGTTAAGGATAACATACCTGTTAGATCCCTTAATATAACCGATAGTCCACACTCGCTCGAGTCCATAATTAAGAGTATTCTCTAACCTGCCATAAGCCAAAAAAACAAGACAAAAATGTGAGCTCCAAAAACGGTGCTAGCATATGAGGAGAATTGAACCTACCATTCGGCATTTCTCTTTCCACAGCCAAACAAATAAAGGAAACTGCAGAAACCCCTATCTAGAAAACTTATTAGATAACTACAGTACCAAAGAAACAGAGCATATGACAGAAGACAGAATTGGTAAATGGGTTACCTGTAGGTGGTCGAATGCCAGATGCGGACATACCCATCTTCAGACCCTGTAAGGATAATTGGCAGGTCAGGATGGAATGCCACTGCAGATACGTTGTGAGTATGTCCTTCCAGTGTTTGAACGCAGCTCTTGGTCTGATAATCCCAAACCTGCCCGACAAGGAAAAAATTGTAAGTTACTGAACTACACATCAGAATACATTTAATCGAACATGGATTACAGTAAGTCATGCTATGTCAAAAATGATACTCATGCAAATCCCGAAAGCCTTATAGAACCAAGTCTTTCAGTTATATTGACCTGGAGAATTAAGATTAGCAACAGACAAGATAAAGTCATTACCTTGGCAGTTTGATCATCTGAACCAGTTATGAGATAAGGTCGATCACCACCACTAAAGTATTCGACACAATTCACTCCTTTCTGATGAGCCTCTAGAGTGAAGTTGGGTTCGGGTGAACCCAGATTCCAGATCTGTGCAGAATACATGCTTAACGTCAAAAACATGCACTATATGCTTCGTAAGAAGCGAGTAGTTCATAGCGGACAGTAACTTGAGTTGGCACTGTCCCTTCCAATCGATGAAGACATCAGACCAAGTAATAAAATCAAAAATATTTTGACACAATTTAGCTGAGTGAATACTCTTTCAAACAAGCATAAACATGCCCAGAAGCGCTGCATCACTTCAGAAGTACCTTGATGGTGCGATCTAAAGATGCACTTGCGAAAGTGTTGTTGTCCTTCGGGTTGATGGTCACTTGCATGACATAATGTGAATGCCCCTCAAAGATTTGGGTGCAAGTCCATCCCTTGTCCCAATCCCAAAGCTTAATGAGCATATCATCAGATGAAGACAGAACATAAGGCAAAGTAGGATGAACTGCGACACTACGGATGTAGTCGGAGTGGGCCTCAAACTGTTTCACTTTGTCCATTGTGTTGTAATTATAGACTCGGATGAACATGTCATCCGCACCAGTCACAATCCACTGCTTCCGAAATATAAACTTCGCAGATCGCACTGCCATATAAGAAAGAATTGAGCATCAGCACGAAATTCTCGTGGTAAGCAAAAAAGTTTACGCAGATCCGCAGCTTCATGAATCTACAAAAATAAAGCTTTCAAGTGATCAATAAAGTATACCTGGTAACTCTGTCACTTCGAAAGACTTGACAAGTGTCTGCAGCAACCCAAAAGAAAATTTACTCAGTGAAATTCATAATTAATGCAATTTCAGCAAGTGTACCCTAAACAAAGTGAACTGCCGAATAATAGCGTATTAGCTAAACGCATTGCCAAACAAGAGGATCACCGTAGACGCAAAACAATTCGATCGCTGTAAAGATGTGAACATAAAATATAAAACTTTCTCAAAATCTTTTCTTTGGAACGGAGATGTACTAGAAATAGTTCTAAGCGGGGGAAGACAGAGCCTCCAATACCACCACTATCATGTCATCAATACAAAGAACTTATAGGAGTGCGTACACCTTAGAAGAAGCATAGTCTGACTTGTAAAAGACGAGAAACTAGACACCTGATTTTGATGATTCCAGATGCAGACACTGCCTGTGTATAAAGCCGCAAGAATCCTGAAATAAGGAATTCAACAAATTCATCTTAGAAGGGCCTCAACGTACTTAAAGTAGTATTTAAAATTAAACACACGCAAAATACACAGATTGGAAAATCAACAGGTTTTTCACACCAAAAGTTTGTTTCGAAGGACTAAAATTGACAACCAAGTTGGGAAATGAATTAGAAACAGATTGCTCAAACAGCTGGGTTTACAGCTTATGATTCTAAGCTTACAGAAATAAGAGGAACAAATTACGTAAACGTGATGCTGCAAACCGATTCAAACCTACTATAAGCAGGATACCCAAACTATTACAAGAATCAATTGCTCTGTAGTTTTGACGAAATTCGAATCCAGAATTTAGATGTTGAACATAAGGATAAACGTACCATGGTTCTGTTGGATGGATGTCTACGCACTTGACCCGATCGGACCTTTGAGCAAGCTTCCGCTGTTTTAAGAAGCACAAGGGTTAGAAACGATATTCTTTAGAAATAATCAAACCAGTGATCCTGAGGAAAAGAATCCAGCTGACAAGTACACCACGATTCTCCTATACTCTTTGCTTTGAATACCAATAATCTCCGGATGCGCTCACAACTCGTTCAAAGAGTTGTCATAAAAAATACTAAGCCTAATGAACATTAATTTTACATCACTTATGCGCATGTGAATGGGGGAGAACTTTCTAAATTAAAAAATCGGGTGAAAGATACCTTGATCTCCAGGCGGAGCGGCTGTAGCAGAACACAAGGCCACATGTCGGTCAGAAAGGATTGCAAAAGTAATTGACGAAAAGAGGTACAACTATAAACTTCCAAAGCACGAGCCTTAAGGTTGACAAGAAACGAACTACATTATTTTCACCTTCAAAGATGCGGCAGGATCAAGTTTTGACGCATTAGGCAACGCTTTGATTCTCTTTCGACATTACGGGATGGTGTAAAATATCCATCCAAAACATAGCAGTACTCTAGAACCGACATAGGAAAACTTCTGACAGAATACAGCTACAAAACGCTACCAAAAAAAAAAAATCCGAGATTCCCTCTACGATGAAGACAGTCCGCAACAGGCTTGAAACAACATATTTAGATAAATCAAATCTCTAACCTACAATGTGACTATTTTCAAAGCTTAATGACAATCCATTTGTGTAATTTGATCAACCGCAATGGCTCTATTCCTGACCAAAAAATTAAAAAAATAATGAAGAAAACCGTAGTCGATGAGATTCAGGTGTAATAGGATGTTTTAATTTACTTACTGAACTACAACTGATTATCTTCAACACACACACACACACATATATATATATATATATATATATATATGTGTGTGTGTGTGTGTGTGTGCACTGCCCAACATTGCAGAAACCAGGAATAGATCGAGTTCTCCAGTACGATTCCTCTGACATATCCCGATCCCCCATCAGTACGAATAAAGTGCTATATGTTCTCCCGTTGAGTAATCGTCTATTAAGATACCAGATACGAATCTAGCAAGAGCTAGACCCCAAAACACAACACCGCATAGTACCAATGATCTATTCATCACCGGCTGCAATGCAAGCACACCCGCCATCCTACCACCTAAATCACAGTCAACAAACCTAGATCTCCGGCAATGCGAGACATCGGGCCTCAATCCTCAAGTCTCAAACTATTTCACCCTGACTACCCATTCACTAACCCCAATCCCACCAGACCTACATCTCCTGAATCCAAGCCTTCAACTAAAAGATCTAACTCCAAGTAACCCTCGCCTGTCCACCCTAACAAACGCGACCTCGGCAAAGCCATTGAAACGCCACGGAAATTGGCATTCCACGAGTAAAGAACCAAACGGATCTACCCTCCCATTCCAGCGAGGGGGAAAAACACGAAAACTCAGGCCAGGTCAATAGACACAAACGCCAGACCTTCTTCTTCTTCACCGATCTTAGCGAGTTTTCTACGAAAAAGTGCGTATTCAAAAGCAAAAAGAGGCGGAAGACGGTGTGGATCATACCATGACTGAGGGCGGGGCTTCACGAGGTGCAACGAAGAGGAAGTGGAGGTAGAAACCGCGGCCAAGGAACCCCTAGCAACAGCGATCAAACGCCCCTCCCTGCATGACACAAAACACACACACACACTCACACTCTCACACACTAGACTCACTGCACTATCAACACAAGATTGCCAAGTCCCGATACTAGTGAGTTCCAGCCAAAGTCGTCTGGGCAGAAAGAGGTGGGCTTCGTTGAATGATTTTCCATTCGTTACACTTCTGTTCATCCTTCAGACTCTGAGGAACAATAATTCTCCACCCCCCTTGAAGAAGGAAACTTTCCCCTTGCCAGCGTGGATGTGGACATTACTAATTTGTTCCTCTCTAAATATGAAAGTGGGTCTGGGCATGGAGAATCATGTCACAACTTATATTGAGAATAATGTCATGAAGTTCGTAGGTCTTTTAATTTTATCTTTATTTGAGGGTATTAATACGTATTAAGGAACTCAGATTTCTACAATTGCTTGAAAGTATATAGTCATCTCAGTGGCTTGTTGCGTAGCAAACTTTCGTGGTTGTGTGTTGCATTGCCCAAGTCGACTGATTGTGGTTTTTGACTAGAGTCAAAATCTTTTCTGTTGTGCAATATGCAAATCATACTCTCTTGAACGAGGTCTCGGATGTACAGAGAAATTGTGCATTGATTTGCCCTACAAAGTCAAACTGCACAGAGACCTGTGGATGTTCCTGCTTACCGTGTGTATGGAAGACATCACCTGAAATGACAACTCGAGAGTTCCTTCGTTTTGAAGATAATACAAATTCTTCGCTATGGAATTTCATTCTTGTGAACAAGTATCTGACACCACGTCTAAGGTGAAATGCACTGGGAACCACCGACTTGAGGGTTTTCGCGAGAATGGCCACGCACATTGTGTAAACAAAGCCTTCAATGCATCAACCACACTGCACTGGACCTCGGTCACCGATCCATGTGAATGGTGATGCCTTTCTTTCACATGACAGCGTTGACGTTGATAAGTACGTGAAGTTACCGAAGACTTTGACCGACTAGGGAGAGTGTATAGTAGTTGTTATAATAGATCACATATAATTTGCCCAACACCAGTATGAAGAAAGCTGTATTCTACTAGAGGGGCAACCAAGAATCGGAAAGTTAGCACATTGACTCGTTTTACAGGTTTGCCAGTGACAGGCTGTCACTAAAACGCCATTTAATGTTTGAAGCGACTAGAGTATGAAATGAGATGCGATGCACAGACTGATACGTTTCGCAAAATAAAACAACGAGGGAAACTAGATCCACATAGTAGCAATTCAATATGTTTGATTTACTGGACAAATTTACAAAATTCGTAAAGATGATACCATAAAAGAGTATCTCAATTTGGACTCTAAATGTGTCCATGGCAAAGTCGTAAGATAAGGAGCAGGTCTTCTAGCTGCAAAATCATTCAGCTGTACCACCAAGGCATAAAAAGGACATTTGCCACAACATTCAACAAGGAGTGTTGAATGTATACAACAAGGTTACACGTTCAGGTGTTGCCTCATACAGAAGTCTCGGGATGAGTTTTGCGGTACTCTTCCATGTCCACGTCGTATTTCTTCTTCAACGCTGCTGCCTTCACATTCCAAACTTCCTTTTCCTTATCAGATAGTTCCTGGGTACAAGTTCAGTAGAAAATTGCAGAGATGTCAGTGGCGGCAGTGACAGTAAGAACTAAATTTTCATAGTGGTATGAGGAGTACAATTGCACCCCGACATGTTAAATTGTTCGCTCAAATATAAAAAGTGTTTTGTGCGGAGGTCTACCTTCCACTTCTGGGAGATGTGGGCGTTGGTGTCAGCGAAGTTCAATCCCGCTTGATCGTTTGAGAGAGTCTTCCTAATCTCCATGCTGCACCCACATACCCAGAGGATTAGATAACCACAATATACCTAAATTATCACTTCTGTCAATGACGGATATCGAGACCACACCACTGTATACAATCACTTGACATCTATTGGTGTAGTTTCCAGACATTTTTTGCTGTACAGATACTATCTATATACGGTCAGACACTCAACCCATTTCTGAAAGTTGGATCACGGCAAAAGAGAATGACAAGCATGCACGAAAACTCAAGACGCATTCATAAGATACGTTCACCTCAAGCCAGCTTTCAGGGAGTCCCACAACAAGTATATTGAAAAGACCCCACAACTCTATTCAATATGCTGTTCACATGTCAGCCAAGTTTACACACATGACATGTTTCTGGCATCTTGGGCCTCTTACCCGAAAATCAAGTACGATGAAAGAGGTTTCTTTGGTTTATTTGGGTCCTTGTTCTTTTTCGTTTCGTTGGCTTGGTCCTTCTTACCCTGAGCTAAGTCCTTCTCTTGGGCAAGGTCTCTCTTTTCCTTTGCCTGATGTTTCATCATCTGCAGAGGAATTAAAACTCTTAATATAAAGGGAATCCCTTGCAGTGAACTGTAACGACAAGAGCTATACAAAGAGATCGTTAAATCCCTTGCGAAAGAGAAAAGAAAAAACAGCAGTATGTTAAAGAGATGAACCTCAACTTTTGTGATGCCGTATTACCTTTTTAGCTTGATCCAACTTTTCTTTCTCCTTGTAAAGCTTCAGAGCTTGCGCTTTCTCCAGCTTAGACTTCTCCTCGGCTTCCCGGTCCAGCGTTGAAAGGTCCTGATGAAAAAGTGTAGACCATAATGAGATGGGGCTAAGACACGTATGAGAAAAACTATGAGAAAAAAATGGATAGGAAGAATACCTCAGCCTTGTTCTTTTTATAAGTCTCAAGCTCCACAGAATATCTCTCCTTTTCCTTAGCGGCAATCTGCGGAAAACATTGTTAAGCCCAATTCGAACGTTGATACCAAGAGAAATTACCACTTCAAATTAATTGAGAAAGATCAACACAAGTACCTCCTCAAAAGGGGCCCGCTTTGAAGGACTCATGCTCTTCCATTCCTCTCCCAGTATCTTTGCAATCTGCAATCAAAGTCAAGGTTGGTCATTCTCACAGATATTGTATGATAACAAGCTGGAGTTGTGAAAGTGCATACATGAATGGCAAGGATAGTTGTCAACCTTCTGCAACAATTGCGCGTTCAGCACACGGAAGGAAAAGACGATATTGAACAGAATACCTCATATAAAGTTACCAAATTTTACCTCAGTTACGGGCTTATTTTCTTCCAATAGAGCTGGACGGCGAGATTGGGAAAACGCAAAAAAGGCGGAAATTGGGTGCTTGGGTCTCAACGGATCCTTCTCCTTCCTGTAAGCTTTTAATTAATAAGGAACTTGAGATATTACAACCAGACAGACCACTCAAAGCAACCCTGGGCATGCGTAAGGCAGAATATTACGTGATAGGGAAGGGTAAATCCACCAAATCTTGGGGACATAACATGTTCTATTTATTGTCGCTCGGACACTGGGTTCACAAGTGAATCCGGCCAAAACAAATCAAATAGAAGTTGAAAAAGCACAAGTTAGATGATCTGTACGGATTCTGATATTAATTCGTGAGTCAGACAACACCCAGTAAGAGGGAGGAATTTTGAACACGTACTTCTTTTTCTTGTCACTACCACTCTCAGTTTCCTGCAGAGACATTGAGAGCAGCTTAGAGATGATCCATACAAAAGAAGAACATGATCCATACAAAAGAAGATCCATACACAATGTAGAAGACATTAATGTGCCTAACGTTAAAGCTTTTTGTCAAATTATATGGTACTAGCCTCATTAGTAGCAAAGAAGCATGCATAGAACGCGCTTGATAGTATCACAAGATCTCAGATTCTGCCACTGAACTCTTTAGCTCTAAGCTGATGAGAACCTAAACCGGGTGCCACAAGTACCTTCTTGTATGCAAGGTACTGTTCAAGGAGTTCCTGGGCCTGCTTCTTGTTTTGTTCCTCATGAAACAGTTTCAAAGCCTCTGTCTCTCGCCTCTCCTCACCAACCAACTGAAAGAAAAAAAACCAGAAATCGTCATGATTAGACGGGAACAGCTGCGAAGTCTACATGCCAGGCATAGTACATATCTGCGCTAGCACTGAACAAAACGTATACTGGATTCAATTAACAATGGCATGTAGTGCGAGTGGGACTGATCTAAGAACTATCCAGAACTAAACCTCATGGACCACCCTTAGTACCGCCCGGACTTCATATTATACAACGTTTAAAGCATATTCTCCGACTCCATGGTGAGGATGAAGTACAAGAACTATTTGTAGGAGTTCAAGCAAAGCACCTTCAGGTAGACGTTCTTCTCCACTTTATATCTGTCTTCGTATGGCTTTCGTTCCTCTTCAGGGACATTCTTCCATTTATCTCCCAAAATAGTACTGATCTCTGCAAAAGTGGCATTCGGGTTCTCCTCGCAGACCTGAGAAAATTAAAGTTCAGTTAGATGGCCCAGGCCCCTTCGAGAATTGGAAGTGATTGTAAATCTCTTACAACCAACATCAAGAATCCAAATTGGTGGGTTTAGAAAATTCCACCTTCTGACGATAATCTTTGCACCACAGAAGAAAAGCAGTCTTGGGCTTCTTAAGGCGCTTAGGATCCTTCTTCTGTTTCTTATTCTTGTCCTCTGGGGCACTAGGATTTGGCACTGAAAGATTCTGGAAGAAAAAAATACAATAAAAACACAACTTATTACTCACTCCCCCGTCTATACTACACAACAAACTTGCCAATACAAGCGATAAATCTCTAAAGAGCAATGACTACAGCAATTGACAGCAATATTTTTATATAAGAATGAATAGGAGTGGGATTGAAGATGAACCAATTTCAATGATCTATTTAATACTAGAAAAGGACAAACGTGACCAATTCGAATTCAAATGCTTAATCAATTGAATCTCACCAAACTGGGCTGGAACCCCTGCACTTTCTGAAGCTTTCGTAGCTTGTCTTCGAGCCTCTTCTTTTCTTCATCCCTGCTCTTCAGCAAGATTTGCATGCGCTCGGCCTCAGCAGCTTTGGCAGATAACAGTTCCTCCTTCTCTCTTAGCTTAGCCTCGTTGCGCTCTTTCTCGAGAGAGACCTGCTTCAAGGCTTTTGTCATGGCTTCAAGTTCCTCTTCGAGAGAAAGGTTGCTGGATTCCTTCAGCCCCCTCGTCTTCCCAGTAGCCTTCGAAGACACAGGCGAGACATCAACATTCTCTTTTTCCGACACCACCTCGCTTCCCTTCGGAGCCCGTTTCGCTCTTGCCTTCGACGCCATTACAGAACTAGATCAAATAACCTGAATCCTCATTCGCAAACCAAAATACCTTGAAGGTCAGCCGATCTCTACATCATGACACTGCAGCAAGCCAAAGGAGTCTTTCAAAACAAAATGATCGAACACCCAAATACAAACATAACGAAAGAGTTGGAAGTACCCTCCAGCTCATTGAATCCTTGTCCAAAGGACACCACGTTACTAAATCTCTGCAAACTAACCACCCAACTCACACAGTTCGGGACTACTCCACACTCTCAAAACTCATCATGCATCGACGATCACCGTCATAAACAGACCATCTTCGACCATTCCAAAACAGCCACCAAAATACCCACAACTCAAAGTACTCCTCTAGTGTTTCAAAACACATCATTGAAACTCAGGCCCAAGCTGAACAATACCAGCGGAGTGTAAATGCATTGCCGATCGAGACATGTGAAGTGAGATCCCCACCCATCCACGAAATATTGAGGAAACAGAGCTTACTTGATGGGCACGCACGAAAAGTGGATGAACCCAGGCGTCAATATATTCGCTGAAAGCTAAACTAGAAGGGCACAAGCGGAGCTGTAAGCGCAGACAGTGGACACGAAACACAGAACCGATATACAGAAGCAAGAATTGATGAAGAGATGGAGTCGCGGAGTGCAGAGGCTCTCGTCGAGCAAGGGATTCCAAAGGAAACGAAGCACAGAAGTTCAAATTCAAATAAAGCAGCAGTTTATAACGCCGCAGAACGGGTTTCCCTCGCTATCCCTAATTCCAAGACGGACCCCCATTACCGTCGTCGATCTGACGTGTATTCCTCGTGGATCTGGATCGAAAATAAATCTCAATTGTATTGGTTTACACTAGTTCTCACATTCATTGATGTGTAAGCATTCTTATTTATTAACACGGTGTTATACCACAATGCTCCCATGTGAATGATTAGGTGAAGAAGAAAACATTGGTTAACAGATTAGTATATACTAGAGGAAAAGTAATGCCCAGTAGATCACAAAGTTGTGTAGAATCACTAGTTTTGAAGAACAATGTCTGTGTTAGATACCTTTTACTTAAAAGGTTCTTTTTGTGAAGAGTTTTCAAAGCCCCGAGTTGGGAAGACTTGCAAGGGGGAATTTACTGAACAAGACTTATCAGCTTGAACAAATTCTTGTACATGGCAAGTTCCATTCACAATATTGCCATGATTCAGCCACAAGGTTGTTTTGTACGAGGTAACACGGGTTTGATTCCAATATACGACAAGTATGAAAGGCAACGCCAATACATCAATAGAAAGTATTTGTTTTCACGTTTAATTTACATAAATTTTATGGTGGCCTAATCTTGAGGTCCAGGTTAAAAAACACCAGCGGAGCAAAAATGAGAGTTCGAGATTACGAGGGAGATATCTTGAACTTGGGCTGGATACCGAATGCGAATAACAGGGCTGCGATCACTAGCAGTGCCAGTACCAAAAGCATACCGAAGAACAATGTGTTCTCGGTGCGCTTCTGCAGCTCAATTTGTCGAAATCGTGTGTCCGACCACAACTGCTGGTAAGCAATCCTGTACAACACAAAGAACCCATCTTACGTATACGACATATTAAGGGCACATAGTACAGAATACTTTTTATGTAAGAAACAACTCACTGTTTCCAGCGAAAAATATATTGATTGAAACTATGGTGTGAGAATTTAAGCTGACCAGGGTTTTGAGTATTAACAGGAAGATCTCAGAGACGGTGTAATCAGTAGATACAAGGCTAAGGCTAAATTACTAGCAATAATTTATACAGGCTCTAATATACAACCAACAGATACCAGTGAGCTGTACGCTTAAAGTGGAAATTAGTTCAACGAAAAGAGGTCCACTTACGGTTTGAATATTGATGGTGCCAGTTTGCGGAGGGAGGTGAACAGCATTACTTGTAAGATACCGAAAAACCCACGCGGGAATAATTCTTGGGTGGTGTTCATCCTAACAATTGCGTGAGCGTCTTCCACCCGTCGCTTGGAGAACTCTTTTGCAACTTCCACAAAGCTGATGTCTCCTTGCACTGTTAAGCAGATTACAGTCTTAGAAGAAAACCCCAAAGTTTATGGCTACATTGAAAGTATCTTAGCAACAACCCTGACATCAACACCTTGAGAGGCCTCAATTGGTATCATATGAACGAAGGCTTCATATGGTTGGAAGAAGTACTTGTGTCAAGTCCGCAATAGAACAACTGAAACCTATCACTGGCCATCTAGTCGTCTATCAGATCGCTTGAAAAAAGGGCTTAGTATGAATACCAGGAATGCTTTCTTCGAGGATTTGGTCCAAGAGTAGACAGTCTTCGAGTGCGACGTTACACCCCGTGCCATACGATGGAAACTGAACAAAAGTGGTCATCAGTATTTCCAGTGTAACATCAGGAAATTATGTAATGTAACGAGTCTGTAAGACTAGTCATTTTAAAGAAGAGATTTTCAGGTCGCACTAAGACATATAAAGAGATCAACAAAAGTCCATTAGCATGTAAATTCTCCAAATTTGGAAGAGAGTCATTTGCTTGGTAGCCATTCAAATTATACAAGACTCAAAACGTCCTTGAATTTCCTCAGTCATGTTACGAAATAGACTACAGTACTCACCATGGCATGCGCAGCATCACCAATCACAAGAATGTTTTCATGGTTAAATCGTGAGAGCGTAACAGCCCCACCAAAGGAAATCGCTGGTTGCTTCAGAAAATCTTCACAAAAATTGGGGTTATCTTCTAATAGCAGTTCAAACAGTTCTGGCGCACTTCCTCTGTTTCATCCCCAATTGATATTGTCAACTAGAAGTCACACCAGGTAAGAAGAACAAAGACTACCATGAATGACAACAAAATGAACTGTCATTGTTCACATGAACCTCGTGAGAAATCTCTAAGTTGACGCACTAGTGTCTTTCTTGTATAATTTTGTGCACCTACACTACAGACATCAAAGAGTCAAGCATGCAAAGATGTCTTGCCAGGACATGTACACAGTTGGAGTTGGAAACATACTGACCTCAATAGAATTTCTACTTCGTGTGCAGAGGATGCATTCATAAGTTGCTTATTCTTGGAGCCACCCCAAAAGCTGCCATCAGCCATTCCTGTTACGATGATATTCATTGCAGGCCATGACTGTGCCAACAATCCATGTAATGTTCATTCCCAAACGGGTCAGACGAGACGAAAATTATCAAGTGGTAAGGTGAGGCACACAAGCTACAGGGAAAATTTCGAACGAAATTGCCAATCGAGCAGGGTAGCGGATCCAAGATCCCCATTTTAAGGAACCCAGATCACGAGTGAGAGCACAGAGACAGATGTAGAAGGCTAAACCACTGCACAAAGCTTTCATTTGCACATAATAATTACATCTGGATCAATACATCTCTTACAATTAGCTTGGCCTTTCCTGGCCGTCGACGCAGATCTGTTTTGATTTGAATAGTATTCATATACACATGGTAAAAAGCTAAGTTCAGTCTGTAAGGGTAGGAAGCAACTCTTGTGAGTGGCATAAGCTTGTGGAATATGTTACCTGAACTCGATTATGATCTTCAAAAAGGGGAGACTTCTTTGCGACCTCAGGGTTCACATAGAAAGACTTGTATACATCACTGCTCGGTTGGAAGTCCAATTCCAAAGGCTTTGATTTCCTGAGGAACAAAAGAACGTCTTAAATTTTACTCAAATGCTCATGAGTAGGTGTGAACGACAAACAGCCGAAAGGATGTCTGACTTGACAAATCTCCAGAATCTTTTCTTACTTTTTGAAGGAAGAAGTAGCGGTGCTGTCTAAATGAATCATCTCTGACCGAACTGCACTATTAACGCCGTCTGCACCCACCAGCAGATCATACTTAACTTCCACCAAGTCCGGTTTTGGTGAAAAGAAATTTTTGGAACTAAGCCTGAATGAGGCTTTATTTGTAGTTGTGTCGACAGATTTAAGTTCATATTCAAAGTACGTCTTCAAGTTTGAATACCTGAAATGGCACAAGAGGCATTAAAAACCACGAAGTCTTCAGGGTAACACGAGATGCGGCAGTTCAAACTCTTCCACAACTTACACATTAAACTCGATATTGCGCAACAAGACAATAATTAAAATAAATAAAAACCAAAACAGAACCTTAGCCTAGAGGACTCAAGCCAAAATAAGATCATAAGATGTTAGTGCACTTCTACCTCTCATGAAGGCTACATTGCAACCATGCTACCAGTGCGTTCCGGCTAACACCAAAACTCAACAGCCCGGGCTCGTTCGAATAGTCAAATTTTCTCTGCGTTCATTACCAATGTCCAAAATGAATATGCACACAGGACAACATTGCAAGCTCGAGTCACTTCATTTGAAAACCCTGTGTTGACAGAACTAGCCGAGTCATTTGAAAAACGAGATTGCCGGGTCGAACCAGAGAATATATAAATTAGACACAGCCAGTAAGTAGAGGCAATGTTGCTAAAGGCTCTACGAACCTACGGAAATTGGGCACAAGTGACTAGCTTACTTACCTTTTTTCCATTTGGTAGGTGCGTGCAGCTGCCCACGAGCTGATTGAGAAGATTAGGAGGCACCTCCAACCCTGCCCCTTGGAAGGCTTTTACAGCTCTTGAGGTAAGCAGGATGTTGTACGAACGCGGATCCCTTCGCGCATAGAATTGTTGATCGCTCCCATTTCCATCTGCCAATTCCTCGAACCAACTTCTAAGATTCCGTAGTAACGTTCTAACAAGACAAACATCTTACGACATTCTGACACAGAAGATCAAATCCGTTTGCCCGTTCTGGGAAAGTTAGATGTTGTATGATGTACCGTGCTGAGGAGAAGAAGGAGCGCCAGCACGTTTATCGAACAGATGGACGAAAAAGCCTCGGCGGAGAAGGTAGTGGGCTAATAAACACCCAGCCGGTCCAGCTCCGACCACCACCACCTCTCCCAGTGTCTTCTGCCAATTTGCATCTAGTAAGGTTCGGTCCTCCACGAATTTCAAGCATGCTATGCTAATGAAAATAATAGACATGCCAACCAAAAATCACGGGAGCACAACTTCTTGAAGCTGTGCAGTATTGGCCGACTCAAAACAGGTGCGCAGAATCCTCCACAAAATGCATGAAACGTCAAAGCTAGCATACAAGATCCAATCACCTATTTAGAGAAACCTCCCGTTGACAGAATCGCATCAAATTAGGAATTGATAAAACTTTAACGTGTTCTGTTTTTACAGAAATCATAGAAAACGTATCTGGAAAACGTACAGATAAGTACTCACACAACTCATGCTCATTCAGAACTTACAGATGAGGAAGATACATCGGCCGGATTTGTCGATTGAACCACCGCAGGCGGCACCGCCATAGCGACAACTGGAGATTGCCGCGGATGACGATCAGACTTCGGCGAAACAGCAAAGCCTCCAGTTCTCAGAAGCCTGTCAAACCTAAAAGACTTTTGATATTCGAGAGGCTCACACGGTAAGGGAAGCTTGGGCACATTGAGTTGGAAGTGGCGGCTCGCTTGACACCCTACTGGTCCGTGCTGCAGCATTTCGCAATACTCCTACAAATCCAGTCAGCAATATCCGAATTCTTGTCAATCATAGGAACCTCAACCTTACATCCTTCACCTCAACAAGCACGACTACGCTACCTCGCCAAAACTTAATTTCCAGAGCTAACCACCCGAACCTCATCAACTCCGACACTCCTGCAGCACTACTCCCACTTTAAATTGCGCACTTTAAATCGCATCTCTCTCCAACTCTTCCCTGCTCCAACCTCCGATATCCACTCTAAAGAATTTCAAATCTCGAATACCACCTCAAATGTCCTTGAATCTTACCACTCTAGTGCAAATTCCTCTTCTCTTCAAAAAATGACAAACAATCTAGCTCGCCACTCGCTACGCGCAGCATATTCAATCTTAACCTCAAAACCTAATCCTACACCCTGGAACCGCAACCTTCAAAAGGCAAAAAATTTAAAAATTACCAATCACAACACTCCGAATACATTAAACGATTTTTCGACACACGATAGAAACGAACACCCCGATCATGCACATTTGTGGCCACGCAATTGGCAGTGGAACGGGATTCCTTGGATTGTTAGACGGGATTTCAAAAGCACGAACCTGAGATCGAAGAGAGAAATAGGATTCCGGCGAGTGATCGGCACAATCATCAGCTCATGATCATCGAGGCCGCCTTAGTTGGTCGAAGCGGCTGCTTGCTTCAATGCCTTCTCGGCTTGCCTGCGAACGATCAACAGGCCTCCGGCGACGTGTATGTATCTGTGCTCCTAGTTTTGCTGCATCCAGGGTCATCCATCCATTCCCATCCATTTCGCATCTTATCCATGGGATGAACAAGACTGGAGTGACGGATGATGGATGATCTCATTCGTTCCCTGAGTCGCTGCTCCACTCTTGGCTCTGCACTTTGCTTCAGAAAATCTAAGATTTCATGATGCGAAAGTACTTGGGACTGGGACAAAAAATAAATAAATAATAATAATTAAATAAAATAAAAAACTGCTTCGTATGAGAATTCATTCGTAGAAATCCAATATTTCATTGGTGCATGATTTCATTGGTGAAAATCCATGTTTTCACTGGTCCAAAACTTTAATCTCAATGATTTTTTAAATTCTCTTTTTCTACATCAAATACATAATATGTTTCAATCATTGATATTATTTAATGGTTATAACTACAATAACTAAAAAATATTTTTTTTATTTTTAACATTTAAGTAAGATAATTGATCGTAAATCAATATACTTCTTGGCGATATTGACGACGTTAATCTGATTGTTAAAGAGAGGTCTTCAAACTGAAGAAACTTAATTCATGTTTTGATTTTCATAATCTAAATAAAATTTATTGAGTTAGAGATCATTTTTAAAAAAAATATTACGAATCTGGTTATTTTCATTCATTTTACAATCACTCTGAGCATAATCTACAAGATAAATAGATAGGTTATAATACATTATCATAATATTATTGCTATAAGAATACTAAAATAATTTATAATTAAACAAATGATCAAATCTAAACCATAGATCATAGCATGATTCAAGAAAATTTATTAAAATTTTACCTTCGATTTAATATAATTATTTTAGAGGTCTTGGTCAGTCATCTTATAATTAGATAGAGAACAAAAGAAATGCTAATATCTTCTAAATGTACAACTTATGCATTGTTCAAAGAATTGTATCAAATTAGTAATCTAAACACAAAATAGAATCTAATCTAAACAACTTTCTTTTTTTGCTTTAAGTATTTTAAGATAATGTAAATATATTTTTATATTATAATTTTGTATATATTACATTTATTTTTCAAATTTGATATAAATTTAATTTAAAATAGTATATTTTACTGGACCAACAAATGAAAATATGAAATTTAAATAAGTAGTTATAAATATTTAGGTTGATTGGTTTTGATTTTTGTAGATTAATGTAAATATTTTAATGTGCATACAAATGTGAGCGATGCAGGAATTATAATAATGCTTGTACAAAAAACCAACCATAAACATAATCTATTATTTTACATTTATAATTTAGTTGATGTCATGAAAAAAATAAGAAGTATAATATTATACAGTAAATGAATTAGTAACCAGTAGTTTACTAAATTAAAACTAAAATTCTCTGGTTGATGTTTTTTAAAAAATAAACTGCATTGTACTCTTTTATCTTATAAATCAATTACTTTTTTTAAATAGTAAAATATATTATATTTTTCATTTTTTAATGGTTTATAAATATAAAATATCCACAATGTTACTTATACATTTTTAAGCTCTTGTAAAAAATATGTTTTTCATTTCTTGATTATTAGTGTCTATTTTTTTTGTTTGTTTGTTTTGTTCATTTTTTTCAAATTAATAATACAACTTTAATTTATTAGATACTAAATACTTGTTCATTTAAAAGACATCTTTATTTGAAAAATCTTGAATTATGTTTAATAAATAACCAACAACGCTTTTGAGTATTTGTGACTTATTATATGCTTGCAATTAATAAGAATGTATAGGATTTGTTTTTATCAAAGGTCTTTTTCATGAAAAAAATTGACTAGTTACAAGTCCAATAAATAAATAGTTTTTAGACTTTCAAGTCTTTTTTTTTCTTTTTCTTTTTTTTCAAACTGTACCCAACTAAAATATGTAATTTTTAATTTTCATACACTGTTAATATATGTATACAAATGAAATTATTTTATAGTAGTGTAGTCTTTAAAACCATTTGTTTTAAAAACAAGAACAATCATATTTGATTTGATTGTTTGTTATATTTATCAAATGTGCAATGTAGCCCTAGTTTATTAAATAACGATATGATTAAATATTCTTTTATTCTTCCAAACAAATGTCATTGTACACTAAATACAAGGTAATGTCAAATCATGTGCATCAGCAAGGTATTTATTACTACCCAACAAAAAAAGTTTTTTTTAGTAGACTTATAAACTACAATTTATATTTACTTTTTCTATTGACTATTATCAATAATAAAACTTTAAAGTTTTAATTTGTTGAATCTTTGATTAATTTTATATATATTTCAAATGAATTTCACAATACTTTAAAACGCTTATAATGCAATATAAATTAGTTTGTTTAGATCTAACAATAAAATATTAAATATTGTGTGGAAATATGAGGAAGCTATGAAATGTAAAATAAGAGGAAGCTATGAAATGTACTATATCATTTTTCTAATACAATTTTAAATATAGAAATTTATATCTAAATTATTATTCTTCTATTTCTCCTAGACACTCTTTTCTAAAGTCTATTTTTGACAAGTAATCAACCTTTTGAAGATAATATTGTTTATAAACAATAATAGTAAGAAAATATTAGAGTTATATATATATTTAATTATTTATTTAATTATTTATTTAATTATTGTGGACATTGTTAAGAATTTTTGATATGCATTCTTGATTTCTTTTTTTTCTTTTTTTCTTTTTTTAAATCACTTTGTAAAGAAGATATAGAGCACATTTATAAGGAACAACATCATATGTAATATATAAGAACAAAATGCACTCTACCTCATTTTTCACACTCACAACTTCTCAATTGTTTTGTCTAGGTATGAAACCAATCAAGAGAAAGCTTCTCACTTTCAACCAATTACAAACTTTAATAAAAAGTTGTTACCTCTTATCACCGTCCCCTCTAAGCATGAAGAATTCCCTAATCCAATGCCTAGAAACCAAACTATTCCTACTCACAAAACTATCCCCAACTCACCAAACCCAAAGCATAATTTCGGCCACGTCTGACGTCAGACATTGACTGGGCTGTATCCATGATGCGGATTCATGTCAACGCCCACCGTCATAAACTAGCCCAGCAACCTGAATGAATATACCAGAAGGGAGGACGATTCCGGCACCACGGAGCAACGGGAAAGTAGAATGTTGAGCTTGATTCTTCTTCAGTCTCACTCCCATCTGATCGATCCCTCACTCACACAATCACTCACTCAATCACTCTCAAAGGGCTTTTGTCGACGACGACGGGGCTTGTTAATAGCCTTCACGCCTCCCCTCCGAACGGGGTTTCCGATGCCACGTGGCGGAAGCCCGGGTCCAAGCCGGTCGTCTCTTCACACGTGGGAATTTTATAAGTTCTTTTGAGGAGGAGGAAGAATGGTGGCCTGTTTTGATAAGTGGATGCGAGGGTATTTAATATTCTGGGGTTGAGGTGTTTGTATTGACTGTCATGATAATTGCGACGAGGTTTGTGGAGATGTGGCGTGTGGTGTCCGAGATTTGGTTTCAGTGCGTGTGTGTGAGTGTGTGTGCGTGTGTGTGTGCGTGTGTGTGTGCATGTGGTGGGACGTGGTGGGGTGCATTCTCACGACCTTTGACAACTCTCAATCTTCTTCAAAACCTGGAGTTCGCAGTGGTCATGAGAATCGTTCGTAACTAGGTTTTGTCAGCGAGTTGTTCGTGCATCGTTGTATTTCACCGAGGAAGTTTGGAAGAGTGGTGGGGCGAGAGTTGTGTCTTCTGCTATGTATTGCTTGTTTTCTTCTGCAAGCACGGTCATGCTGTCCACTATGAGCTTGTGAATGTGATCGTCGCACTGAAGAATGTGAATTCCAGTCTCTATTGTTCAAATTCTGATTCTGCTAGATTTTGGCATTCTCTGGAGGCTGTTTATTCCATGTGCTTGGTGCAGCTAATTACCCATGATTTGTGACACTAGTCTCCTGTTCTTGAAGACCGTTCACAATTGATATTAAAAGTCTGGAGTTTGAACTCGTCACATCTTGTCCACTACGATGAAATGCAAACTTCACGGCATCTTATTTGATTGGAAGGCAAATGCGATCAGTGCATGGGCTTTCAAGAACTCGAGACTCATACTTGCTCGTGTCTTTTCTTTTCGTCAGACCAGCCATCTGACGAGGATTTCTGTTTGCAGACAACCTGCTCTTCAACCTAGAAAATTCTCTTTCCAACAAGACTGACATCGCAAACCACCATGGGAAGCAGATACGAGAACGAAAACTCATTTGCATTTTACGACCCGGAACGAGATCGCCAGGGAACAAGACCGCAGAATGGAGTGAGGGGCAAGTCGGGGCCTCCAACCTCCCAACGCGATGGCCCATTCGGAGCTTACGACCCAGAGATGGACGAGGTAAGACCAATTCAAGGACTCTCTGGGGTGACAGACAGAGCATCACCGCGTCCGAGGGGGGATGACAACGAAGGGAGCATAAGAGCAGGAGCTTACCCTCCTCTCCCCTACATGAACCAAAACGGTGGACACAACTCCAGCGCACAGGGACCTGCAAGGAGACCAATCTCTACCCTAGAACCAGGACCTTCAGGGAGAGGAGCACCCATTACATAACCTGCACATGGCTCATCCATCCAGAAGGGGACCCAGTGAGCATCCACTGAACGGAATCAGACCACCACCACCACTACCACCTGCAGGCAGTGAAGCAGGCTACCCTTTACCAACGAAACCTCCCAGTGTGGATCTGATTCCATCAGTCAGGGCCGCAGCGATGGCACCTGCAGGAGCTGGGAGATACGTCTACGGCGGATTGCGGCAACCTGAGGAGGCGAAGTTTGCAGGCCAGCACGGCGTAGTCCCGCCGGCGCCGATCAGCTCCGAGCAAGCGCATCAAGTGTACGCGAGTGTGTTCTCGGATCCGGTACACGCTGGGGCGGAGCAATTCAACCCAGCAGGTGGGTACATGGAAGAATCCGCAAAGATGCAGCAGCTGCATCACCGACAGGATGTGCTTCGTCATCCCGACAAGTTTTAGATCGCCCCGCATCGCCGCCTCCGCTTTTTAGGGTTTCGCTGTAGCACCATTCTTCATGTCTAATCTCGCATTTGCAACTACTTCATTGTTGTTCCCCGAATTCTTCCCATTCAAGTCCTTTTGCTTCGCCGATCTCGTGTTGAGGGATTGTTTTGTGCTTTACATCTTCTGTGAGGGACTTACCCACTTGAATTCTGATAAAATTATGTCTGTGGGTCTCTGTAATATTGATTTAGTTGGGACTTTGCTTTGATTTAGTAAGTGATTTTCCATTCTGGAAAACAATGCTAGTACCTTAACGCAGTCTGAAATGGTTTATTTGATCATTTCCAACATTTGATATCCTGTCAGATTTTTATGGTAGTATTTAATTTAATAACGTCGTACTTCATATTGCAAGTGTACAATATAATAACAAAAATAAGAATTCCCTTCAAGAATTACTGTGCAGAGATTAGAATATTATGTAGACTTCTGTGAGCTAACATAAAATGAAATAAAATAACAAAACAATTTTTTTTTCATTTAAGTTTAAGTTACACAAGCCAATACAAGATATTGTATGGTAGTATACTCCTTCAATTCATTTATATATTTTGAATGAATAAAAAATGTCTAAGCAAACTAAATGTTGATGAATGCAGAAAATTTAATGATTAAATATCAATATCACTTACATTTTTATGATTGAAAATTTTCGAAACTAATTCTCTATACATTACATCTTTTGATTATCACTCAGTTTAATTAGTGGGTTTCTTTATAACGACAATGTGTATTGGTCTAAACCTCAACATACAAATAGCTTTGACATGATTTAGTTTAATTTCAATAAAGTTATTATTGAGTCAAAGCAAATCAAGTATTCAGATGTATTTAGTGTATTAATTACTGTTCATCGTTTTTGAATAAATCAAAGTTTTATTTGTTGCAACTTGTGCAAATCTTTTATAATCTGAGGTACGTTTGCATGTTCAAGCCTTAAAAAATCTATTGAATGCCAACATATGTTCTTTTAAAAAGATCAACAAAGTCAAACCACAACAAAACTCTATTATATGCAAAGCCACCGTCAACTTTTTCCAAGGTTCTTCAACACACCTCAATACTCCTCAAATCCAACTTATTTCCTCTATAATATTATTGAATGTCCTTTTACTCATATTCAATCCTTTTAAAAATCCAACTTCACATTCCAACTCAACTCCCCAATAAAAAGATTTTCACTCTATTTTACCATACTCTCCATTTTTCATCTTCCTCATCCATTCAAATCTTCACTCAAAGAATCAACTCTCAATCTATCATTAATCAATAAACCAATCAAGCCAACATAAGTTCAAGATCTAATTACACACCGTAATAAATAAATAAAAAATAAAAAAAACTTATTCCTATATCACAACCATACATTATACCACATTCACACCTAGTAACAAAAGAACCCAAAACCAACTTAGAATAGAAAAAGGCACATCCCACTATACACACCCTCATCTACGTGTACATTCAAAGCACATCCACATTAATTTAAAAAAAAAAAAAAAAAAAAAAAAAAAAACTGAAAAAGTAACAAATATACTTTTTGGTCGCTAATTTCACAAAACATGTAAGAGCTCCTTTTCTTGTGAGCATGTTTTGTGTGTTTTGCCTGCCGAGCTCCGTCGTTGCCGAGCGATTTCGCTCAACAATCCTCATGAAGATTGCGACTGCGTCGTCCAGGTCAGCGAGCATCGTTCCGAGCTCCGTGTTGAACGTCTTGGCATTTTGTGGGGTTGTGTGGATTTCGTTGTCGGGATGGATTTTAGTGGGCTGTGGGTTCATGGAATTGCACATGTTGTTTGTGCTGGAGCGAGAAAATTGTGCACGGATTTCGTGTTCTGGGAAATTGTGTCAAAGAATGGGAGAAACCATGCGCCGCGCTTACGAATCTGCTGCTGTAATGGGTTCATTACCCACAGCACCAGAGTCGGATGTGACGACATTTGTGGGTTCTGATCTCTGTTGTGTTTATATACTTGTCGCGTGGCGAGTTTCGTAATGAAGATGGGTGGAAGAACGATGTGTTTTGGGCAGATTTCGCAATTTTAGAGATGTTTTTGCTTAGTCCTTTTGAATGCCGACCCTTGCTGTGATAGCTTTGTCGCATTTTTTACATTACTCGCCCACAATAGAGTTGTAGGTGAAATTTTCTGTGATTTTTTTTGCAATTGTTGACTTCTGTTGCAGTGTTGTTTTTTCTTTTTCTTTTCGCTGCTCTCTGCCTGCGGCCAGAAATGTGATCAGCCAGTCAGCACGGATTGAGTGTTACGAACTTGAGTTGATTTTAGGTTGTAAGACTCAGCATGGTGGCTGAGGTAAAGTTGCATTTGTTGACAACTTCATTATACAGTGTTGAGACCTAATTTCCATAACATCTTGTAATGGGATGAATCACGACTTTCGTCTAATTTATGAATCACACATAATTTATTGTTGCAGTTTGTGTTAGCTTCTCGTTAGATCCTTTGCAACGTTTTGAGTTGCGGAATGTAAATTGAAAGCTCTGTTGTTTTGGTTTCAAGTGTAGGCTTGGGGTGGTAGGTGGATTGTGGGGTGCTGGAAGGATATTGAGCTGCCGGGAATCGGCGAGAGCGCGAACAAGGGGCAGTATGGCACCTCCGATGGAGCCCGACTTGGGCTTATCCTCAGCTGGCCGTGTGCTGAGCATTCAATCTCACACCGTACATGTAAGCTACATTTTAACTGCCTGGCACTCCTTCTCGTGCCAAATTGTCCTCTAAGAGTTCACTGATTTTGATTTCTTGCATATAAGCCTTAGATCTGTCTTTTGGTAATTACTCCATTACAAGACCCTGTAAAGCCAAATGTAGCAATCCCGTGAACCTGTGTTTTGATGGGCGCAGGGCTATGTTGGAAATAAGGCTGCAGTATTACCGTTGCAACTTCTAGGATTTGACGTGGATCCTGTCAACTCTGTTCAATTTTCCAACCACACAGGCATGTTTCTTGATTTGTTTTTCTCAATCTCCTGCATGATATTCACTATTTCCAGACGCCTAAGGATGGAGTGGCCAACCAATATCTGTTCCCTGAACTTCCGTCCTATTCCTTTCTTAATGACAGGGTTACATTTCATATTAAAAAATTCAGCAAGCGGCGAGCACCTAAATTGTATCGTGTTGCCAACTAACGCTGTGAATTATTATAATATCAGTAGTTATCATATGTGAGATGTAAATGCCTTCATGCCTTTTACAAGATAAGAATACATTCTATAGAAACATCATGGTGGCGTTGCGACTGATGGAAGAACAGTGGGTGGGGGAGAAAAGAGATGCAGGTTATGCAACGGTGAAGGGGGACGTGCTCGATGGTGAGCAATTGTGGGCTCTCATTGAAGGCCTTCAAGCGAATGATCTGCTGCATTATACTCACCTTCTTACAGGTCTTAATACACGTGTCAAGTTAATCTCATTTGATGAATTGCAGCTGGTTATATTATCGACGGTGTTTTTATTTATCTCACATCTGTACCCTGTAATTTGAATGCACTATTTGATTGCTCTCTTTTCTTTTAAGCAGGGTACATAGGATCGGTCTCTTTTCTGGAAACTATATTGCGTGTGGTGGAGAAGCTCCGAACAGTCAACCCAAATCTTATTTATGGTATTTTTCTGTTCCTTGTTGTATTGCATTAGCAATTCTTTATTTAATCTAGACTTAAATCAGATTCCTAGCTTTCGTCGTATATTCTTTCTTAGAACTGCAGAGGGACGATTGATGTGTTATGAGTTTGGATGAGATATTTGAATTTTGCGAGTTGCTCTTTGTTTTTCAGTATGTGATCCTGTCATGGGCGACGATGGCGAGTTTTATGTTAACCCCGAATTGGTCCCCGTATATCGAGAAAAGGTGCTTTCTCTTCATTAAGTACTCTTTGAGAATGCTGTGTTACTCTAGTTCCTGTCTCATGCTTTTGGGCTGTATTTATTGCGTTATACCGAACTGTGTTATATGTGATGATGTTGAGACAGTGGCAGTAGATGACTGAATATGATAGATGGCTTAGAAAGCTTCTCCGTTTGGGGATTTTATTCCAAACGCTTAATTTGTTGTAGGTAGTTTCAGTGGCAACAATGCTTACACCAAATCATTTTGAAGCGGAACAACTCACTGGTCGTCGGTAATGTCAACTATCCCTGCCTTTCGTACGAAGAATTTAATTCTGTACTTCCTGGCGTTTCTTGTAAGCGATCATGGTTTTTTTAATTGTCCGCAAACTGGTTATTAGCGCCCACATTCGTTTTCCCTGTCCTCCCTTACATATGTGCCAAGGAGATGCTGAAGGCAAAATTGGCAGTATTGAAACAGAGGCAGAGGCATTAGCAGCTTGCATTGATCTCCATGCTGCAGGTCCTTCAAAGGTGTTGCCTTTCTTCTGCAATTTGTACAAGGATTATTGACTTCGTTGTATCGAAAGTATAGAAACTTTTTAATTTTAATATTCATTTTATTTATTTAGTTTGAACGTTTTAAAATGTGACTTTTGTCTTACGTGTGAATGACCTCGACACGCATCGGGAGCTAGCCATTTTTTTTTCTTTAAATGCTTGGATATTTTGCCTGCAGGTGGTAATCACAAGCTTATCAATAGATAACATGCTGACCATTGTAGGCAGCCATGTTCAAAGCAGAGTGAGTACCGTTGTTTTCTGTGTTATGCATTTGGTGTAGGATGAGGGTTCGTTGAATAGTATTAGACGCTATTGATTTGTGTATACTCTAGCAACTGCTGTTGACGACCAGGAAACTTAAGAATGTGTGGGGCGTGTTCTGCTCACCTAAAACTTCTAGAGTTTGTCATGTTTATTATGTTGAAGGATTGCTATTTTTCTTTTGTCACATGACCATCCGTTTTAAAAGACTCATTTTTTTCACAGTCTAGTGTTGTTGGAGTGTGGCATAGGGGAAGTCACCTGAACAATTCAAAATAGCTGTGCCAAAGCTACATTCATATTTCACTGTATGTCCACTATCCTCTGTGATTTGCGTCTTTTTAATTTCGTTGTATGTGATACATCAGCATACATTGCATTTTCTGGACAACAGCCATTATAAGATTTAAATTAACACTTGTTCCATCTTTGCCATTGTCATTTTTGTGTTTCGGTCACAATGAAACCTCCCAACGTACTATTATTATCCAATGTCATTGGGAGGGATGTGCCATCTAAAGCCGCATAAGTCTTCGGACTTTATTTAAAAATAGAATAGAATAAAATAAATTCACTGTTAATTTTTTCTGCATTCACTGCTATCACTCCATTCCTACTGCCTCACTTATGGCAAATGGTTATTTTGGACAATATCTGTTGTCCCTACCAATGCGTATATATGTAGACTGGTTCGCATACCTTCATAGTTACACATATGTTGTTTGGGTCAAGAATCACTTCCTAATATTCCCGCTTGACGAGACTTTAAAAAATGCAGGGCACTGGGGATTTAATGACTGCACTTCTACTGGGGTGGAGTCATGTGAGTACTGGTCATTTTTGTCGCGAACTGGTGAAAATGTTTTTTAGAGGACTTCATTGTCCTCGCTTGAACTACTTTCCAGAGCATTTCTTATTTATGGGTTTGTTGAGGTGTATTATTAGACTGATCCTAGTATTCTCAAGGGTTTATGATTAGAAGTTGGCTCTAATAAGAACAAAAAATTTGCAGAAATTTCCTGACGACCTTGATAAAGCAGCAGAGCTTGCTGTTTCTAGCCTTCAGGTAGGATTTCTTCAGTGCTTACTACCATGTTCTTGTGATCAAATCAGTCTTTCTATATGGAGTTTTCAATCGTGCTTCTTTAGAATAGCAGCAATTTATCCTGGTGCTATGAAAGGCCATTATTCTTATTGTTTGTATTCGCTCTCTCGGAGTGAAATTCAGACAACTCATGTGCTTGCAGGCTGTGCTGAACAACACAATTGCAAACCGCAGTAAGACAGGGGCATCACCAGAACCAAAACCCGAACAACTTGAGCTTCGCCTCGTTCAAAGTGTCGACGATATACGGTCACCAGCAGCGAGATTCCCCGCAGTAAAATTGTGACTGCAACAGGTTCGCTCGTTATTTACGTTGTTTATGATTCATGTCACATTGCTACGCATTATTTGGGGTAGTTTATATCGGTTCTACATCCAACTACTATCTGGTTAACGAACCATTTTATGGTGCTAATTAGCGATACACCGTCTAGGTTAGGTTGCAAGTTGCCAGGCCTTGCCTAGTGTGGCTTCAGGAAACAGGAATCAAGTAGATTATCATTGTTGTAAGTTATCCGGACTAAACATCTAAAACCCTTATATTTTGTTGGGATTCTATTTTGATCTAGAAGCTGAAGTTTGATCTCCGAGTGATATAAAGTTGTTGATGTTGCCACCGATGGGCTTTTGGATAAGGTCACTTTTAAGGTGGAAAAATACCGAGTTTGGTGCAACTCTCTAAGGCTGAGTGAGTCCGTCTGAATCTTCAGTTTCAACCAAGATGATTTTAAAAGACTTGAAATCAATGATTTGCCCTGCTTGGTAAGATGTGGACTTGTTGTACAAGCCACTGTTGCTGACAAGGGCTCCAAACACGATGTGCCTCGAGTTGACCGGAAAGGTCAGGAATTGAGGTCTGATGTCCAATACTATCAAGCCACCACTCACACATGCAGTGGAACAGGGGCAATGGCATGTTACCATGTCTGCATAGTGATGTGAACTTTAGTTGAAAATGAGGGGTCTTCAAGGTCCTCATCTTCCCATACAATCCAACAGTGGAGTGATGCGAAATATTCGTGTGTGAAGCCACTGACACTGGCTTGTACGCGAAGTACTTCGTTGGAATACAACAGCGCTCTGCGTCTGCGTAATCTGTTGGGAACAAAAGCTAACACGTTGTCAGGCCATAACAGATGCAGTAAGTGTTTTCGCAATTGGAGGGACCTCGCAGGAAACTTGACCCACTTCTCCAAAAACCAGGTGCTGTTAAAGAGCAATTGGTGGCACCCGTGTCAGGCTCCTTACCTCGCAGTCGTGAAGTAAGTGCAGTCTTTTCCTTGTTATTGTTATCCGGGTATGTGATAGCCACCTCCTTTGTTTGCATCGGTAATGAGTCATTGTGGAAGGAGAACCTACCCACCCACGAGTGGCATGCCATCTTGCAAGGGCAACCAGTCATCGAGCACTTCAGCTTCCATGCATGGGCACATATCTCCACTCGTTTTGCATCGTATTGTGGATTCAGGATCCATGTGTTTTTTTTCCCTTTTTTTTTTTTTTTTTTTTTTTTTTTTGTTCTGGGACTGAGTATGAAGAGATTGAGATGGGTACTATTACTAATATTATTGTTATTATTTCCAAGGTGTTGTTGTGAGCACACAGAAATCCATGGTCAGAGAGGTAAAAAAAACGGCTAGATTTACGAAGGGTCTCAGAATAATCTCAGAATAACCTCAGAATAATCTCTAGTTGGTGGGTCTGTGATAATCCATGGTTGCAGTTGTAGAAATGGTTGCTTCTGCACTAGTTTTAAGAGACTAGCAGAGATATGAAGAGACTTGCTGTTGTGGAAAGCATTGGGGCCTCCGAGGAAAGCCTCAAAACTTGGATCCTCAAGAACGAGTTGGAACCATGATCCAGTGCATTGGTTGGGAATATAACCATTGCATGCATCTCATAAAAAACTGGACTAACCCAAATAACAGTGAGTACGTATGTAAAAGTATTTATATCTATTTATATATACATATACACGATTTGATTGCTCATTCAACTTGAACTGTAACTCTTCAATGACTTCTTTTCATTACTCCCTTTTTGATAACTTATTTTATTTTAATTTTTTCAAATGTAGAAGCTTATTCGCTTTGAATAGCAGTTTGCTATAATCATGCACTATTGGGTTCCACCTTCCTCATAAAATAAATGACATATCATTATGATGTCAGTTAAACTGTTTTCATTACCAAATAGTTTAAACAATTCGACCAACAACAATCAAAAGGCAACAGTTTCACCACCATATTGGTGGTGACATTTTCTTACGGACATGGCTTCCAATTTAAACAAGTTCTAGAACTGTCCATTTTTAAAATTTATCAAAAATTGACTTTAATTCTAAAAACGAAATCATTCTTGAAAATTTATTCATTTGAAAAGTTTATCTGTTGATTACAGGGAGGAGACGAAGATTCCAATCAGAAGAGAATATAAATTAAAAAGAAACGTTCTCATTCAAATTTTTAACAAGGAAAAGCTCAATATGAACATTGTGATTAATTACAATAGTTCATTTTAGGATCAATATAAGGATGATGATAAGTAAAATTAAAACTAAAATACTTTCCATTTAAAAACTTGTGTGAATTAGACAGAATTATATAATGATACAATGATCAACACAAACACACTGTTATTAACAAGTGAATGAAAACCTAAATAAATGACAAAGGAACTTTTTATCATGTATTCTGGGAAACATTATGCAAATCCGCCTTGAATGCTTCATCATGCCCATCATTAAGTGTTGTATGGTTATATGGAATGAAATTACTATTGCTGTTAAAATAGAATATCTTTGAATTTTTCCTTGTAAGGCTCTTTTCCTAGATCGTAAAATCACACTCATGTGAATGAAATATAGTTTCTACTAAATTTATATTATTTCATCAAATTTTAATTAATAATACAAATCCATTTTTTTGAAAATAATATATTGATGCTTATATATCTAAAAGAATTATGCAACTATAATTAAAACTTATATAAGTTAACCTCTTAAAGTAAGTTTTGGTTTAAGTAGTTGTGGCCCAATCTATGATATATTTTATAAATTTTAAAATATATACATATATACATATATATATATATATATATATATATATATATATTATTTCGATTATTTTTAATTTTTTTCTAGGAGTGTAAGAACACACAAATAACATGTTTGTTACGTATTACAAAAACCCAAAAATGTAAGATTACATGCCAATATATATAGGATAATATTAAATTGACCCACCTAGATCTTAGTTTGATCCACCACAATAGCACTACAAAGGTTTGAAGGCTGAAATATTCAATGCTGCCTTCAACACACACTATGTATTGGTGTCCCACCACTAGTTGATACAAAGACTTGAAGGCTCAAACACCCAAGGCTGCCTTAAACAATATATATTAGGTAGTGGTGCCCCACTGTAAGGAAGACATCCAAAGTTATTTGCTTGAATTAATAGACATATTGCTTAGACTAGGAAACTCTCTTTTGCAAAGAAATTAGAGCTAGCCAAGAGAAACATTCACACAATTTCAAACCACAAAGTCATAGGGGGGTCAATTTAACATTCATATATATATATATATATATATATATCCATACATAATTAAAATTATTAATCTACTTATTTACAACAAACAATGTGCACATCTAAAGACAATACAAAAGCCTCTTCTATATGTAGATTAAATCTTATCCAACAACTTTTTTTTCTAGAACTAAGGCTAATGATTTATCACCTCCAATCAATACAAATATTCTTTTTAGCGGAAGACTATTGTTTTGTTCTTTTTTTAATCCACCCTAGATTGAAAACCATGATGCTTAATTGCAGTACATGATAGAATGACAATTTACTAATATTATTAAACCAGCGGTACAAATTTCCATTTGAATGAAAGGACAAAGTCCTTTAATTGGGTACACATGAGCCAATGGAAGACCCCCTCACCCCCCCCACCAACATCCCCATTCCAAGTCAGCATTGATCCCGTCCACGTCAGACACAACCACCGCCACCTGCACGCCACGAGGGGCGTCTTTATTTGAAACTGGGACCCGGAATATGAACACGTGGTTTTGTCACGTCAGCACGAGTTCCCCAAGCTCCCGACGTCCACCAGAACCCAGTGGGAACTCGACGCAGATCGTGAAATGCAGGGTGGGTCAGAGTGTGAGTTTGTGAGTGAGTGGGCGAGTTAGTGAATGAGTGAGTGGGTGAGTGAGTGAGTGGGTTAGTGAGTGAGTGGGTGAGTTAGTGAGTGGGTGAGTTAGTGAGTGAGTTAGTGGGTTAGTGAGTGAGTTAGTGAGTGGGGGAGGGAGTTTCGGTGGAGGCCGAGGATTTGCCGTCGTCATTGGCATCCGAAGGCAGCGGCAATGGGAGAAAGCGAGAGAATGAGAAAGCTACGCTTGCCAGACGGGGAGCTCTCGATGCTCTCGAAGAGACTGCCAGTGCGGGTTCGACAACGACGACGGACCAGCCGGAGCCGGGGCTAACGCCGTCCACTTCCGTCTGGCCCCACCCTCTATTATTATTACAATTACAATTATTCATCCGAAGTCGTTAATACACGCGACTGTTCGTTCCTTTAATTTTTCGTTTCAATATTTCCTTTATCGTTCGTTGACTAGTTCGTTCGTCCGGAATGGTCGTCGTCGTCGTGTGCAACTCCCCGCCCCTGTCTCTCGCTGCTGTCGATTCGAGTGGGGATCCTTGAAGTGGCAGGTCCACAGCCTTCGGACGAGTTGCTTGGAACCATCGCCCGCGTCTCGCACTCTCGCGGCTACAGGGGAGGGAGGGATGGAAAGTCAGTAGTATTAAAGACGGGGCCTAGGGTGCAGGTAGTTGTGGAGGGCAGGGGGAGGAAGGCAGGAAGGAAGAAAGAAATTGCATTACACAGCTTCAGTGTGGGAAGAGAGAAAGCGAGAGAGAGAGAGAGGTAGTTGAGAGGTGGTTCGTTTCTGCTCTCACTTGCACGGCGGTTGTTTCTGGTTTCTGGTATTTTTGTTTGTATAATTGATTTGCACTTTTTTTGTTTTGTCATGAATTAATTAATTTGTACTCGATCTGGTCTTGTTGGATGGAAGGAGATCATGTCTAGACAGGGACGGAGATGTTTTATGTCGTGAGTGTGCGGGTGTTGAGGTGTTTGTTGGCATTGGTGTGAGGAGGGAAGAGAAGGTAGGGGGGAGGGAAAGGGAATTGTTGTTTTGAGAAGCGGTAGTTGAGTGACGACGGATTGTGGAGGCGGTCATGATGAAGACTCCGCAAGGGGTCCACAGTGAGGCAGTTCATGGTGAGAAGCATGAGTATGCGGAGATGCGGAAGCCGGTTGCCAAGCTGCGGAAGGCGCTCGCGTCTGACGCACTCCCATTGCCCGTGGGATTGACGAACAAGATATCCATCGTGCTGTTTTTTATAGCGTCGTATTTTCTGATGCGGTCGTGGCGGGACAAGATCCGTAACTCGACGCCCCTACACATGCTGAATTTGGGAGAGATCGTTGTGCTTCTAATCCAGCTTGCGTCGTTTATTTATCTCTTAGGATTTTTCGGAATAGACTATGTACAGAACTTTATTAGTAAGAGCAATGATGGATCTTGGGATTCAGATGATGAGAGAGAGCACCTTAGACATCTTAGACCAAGCTGTCAGATGCAGCCTGAAGCTCCGAAGCCTCCTGTGCAGCTAATGGGCATGGGTTTAAGTGACAATGAGGATGAAGAAATTGCCCGCGCGGTTAGCAATGGCGATGTTCCTTCTTACTCATTGGAGACGCAGCTAGGGGACACTCTGAGAGCCGCTGCCATTCGACGTAGGGCAGTAGAACTAAACACGGGGAGGTCTCTCGAAGGCCTGCCATTGACCGGACTTGATTACAGCTCCATTATAGGACAATGCTGCGAGATGGTTGTAGGCTACGTGCAAATTCCGTTGGGAGTTGCTGGCCCCCTTCTGCTGAATGGCGTTGAGTTCACAGTTCCGATGGCCACTACCGAAGGATGTCTAGTGGCCAGCACTAATCGCGGTTGCAAAGCTATCTACCAGTCTGGTGGTGCTACGAGCAAATTGCTGGAGGATGGGATGACAAGGGCACCTGTGGTCAGGTTTCCAAGTGTGAAACGATGTGCCGATCTAAAGTTCTTCCTGGAAGATCCCAACAACTTCGATACCATCTCTCATATGTTCAACAGGTCTGGCTCTGTGTTTAGTAAATGCAGATTCAATCTTTCTAACCGAATGGAAGTCATGGAGAGTAGATATATCTTCTTTGTCTAGGACCTGTCAGGTTCTTGGGATTTTGAACATTCCCGTGTGTGTTCTGCTAGCTTTGCACCAACCAGACTTGCCAATCCAGTGTTCTTACCTGGAGCGCGCAAATCAAAATATTGTATTAGAATCTGTGCATCTTGGATAATTTCGTCTCATTTCTTTCCTTGATTGCTTGAGGTTGTCATGAGAAGACCACTACATCGGATTTTTCCTTTTCCTCCATCATTTAATCAGCATAGCATACTGACATGGTGACCGGATATTGAAATTTGAACATGACTGACGAAACGTTCGGTTTGATTACCAGGACTAGTCGTTTCGCTAGGCTGAAAAAACTCAAATGTCAGTTGGCTGGACGAAATGTGTATATTCGTTTCACGGCAACAACTGGCGATGCAATGGGAATGAACATGATATCCAAGGGCGTTCAGAATGTTTTGGATTATCTTCAGGATGTGTACCCTGATATGGAGACCATAAGCGTGTCTGGTATGTAACACATCCTGCTTGTGTATGTCATGTCTCAAAATTAGAGGTTTCTATGTATATTGATATGCTCCATCCAATGGTACAAGGTCGTACATGATGCTGTTCTGAGACTTGGTGGTTGTAGTATCTCTTAATGAATTGGTGTACTAACACAATATTTTCATTTGCAGGTAATTTTTGTGCAGACAAGAAGCCGACAGCTGTAAATTGGGTTGATGGCCGCGGAAAATCAGTCGTTTGTGAAGCAATCCTGAAAGGAGAAGTTATTGCCAAAGTCTTGAAAACTTCAGTTCCTGCCTTGGTGGAACTGAATATGATTAAGAATCTAGCTGGTTCTGCTTTGGCTGGAGCGGTAGGAGGCTTCAACGCACATGCATCCAACATAGTGTCTGCTGTCTTCATTGCGACAGGGCAAGATCCTGCTCAAAATGTTGAGAGTTCACAGTGCATCACCATGATGGAGGCAGTGAATGATGGTCAAGACTTGCATGTTTCTGTCACTATGCCTTCCATTGAGGTGTGCGACTTTCTGTAAAGCCGTCCTTTTCCTGTGCAGTTTTTGAGAACTGCATGTTGTGAACACTTCTCAGGTCCTAGACCCTCATTGTTCAATTGTTTGTTTGTTTGTTCATGACAAGCTTCTTACGTTCCATGTTGATGCTCTTTGCAGGTGGGAACTGTTGGTGGTGGCACGATCTTGGCCTCACAAACAGCGTGTTTAAACGTGCTTGGAGTGAAGGGAGCGAATGCAGAGTATCCAGGAGCAAATGCGCAGACACTTGCTAGAGTAGTGGCAGGTACAGTGCTGGCTGGTGAGATCTCTCTCATGGCTGCTTTGGCTGCAGGGCAACTTGTAAAGAGCCACATGAAATACAACCGTTCCAATCAGAACATCGCTGCTGCCGCAAATGCCGCTCTGCCCCCGCTGCCAAAAAAGTCTTCTTCAACCTGAAAAGAGTCTGAAAGAATACGACATAGGTGGAAGTGCTATGGTAACAGATTGAAAGCAACAATTGGAGATGTAGACTTCAATATCCAAGTTTTTGAGGCCCCATTGTTAGCTTCCCAGGCTGAACAGCTGGCGTTGTACACTATTATTTTGACGAACCTCCGCTTCTGGAACCTACTATCATGCTTGATTGTTCCCAAATTAGGGATCTTTTTCTGATTTATAACTGCATAACTGCATCCTCAAATTTTTGGCACTTTTCGTTTCACAAGTTACTGAAAATCTATGCCCATTATTATACAGCGTTTGACAAACTTAGCTCTCAGCTCTACTTCGTAGTGTACAGTGGGGTACAGAAATAATTCGAATTTTTTTCCAAAGTGAATCAGTGTTAGAAATCACTGAACTTCAAAAAGCTCCAGCAGTTTCAAAAATGAACTCATTTTTGAGCAGTAAAGTGCATTGCGAAGATAGTAGAATCTAGTTTCATGGTGTAACAATTTTTCATTATAAAATTGTGAAAATATACATCAAGAGAGTTTTTTGTTACATACTATCTACCATCTCGTACTACCACCTCCAGCTGCAATCACCGCTTGCATCCTATAAGGCATAGTGGAAATCAATGTACGAAGCCACTCTATAGATATGGTATCCCATACGGATTGAATTTTTTCTATCATTTCTAGCTTACTATTAGGTCTACTATGATGTTTGAGCAAATCTTTTACAACCATCCAAACGTTCTCTATTGGATTCAAGTCCGGTGAATTGGCAGGCCAAAACAACTTTTCTATACCATGAGCACGTCTCCATTGCACTGGCAATGAGTTACGGTGGACTGGAGCACCATCCTCCATCAATATCAATTGCTCAAGGTCATCATGTAAGAAATAAAAGCCAATTAATACTCCTTCATAAACAATAGTGACAAAATCACTTGATGATCTCTTATTTGAAGGAATGGTGACCAATGGAGACTTATCAAAGCCAATAAAGGCACCCCAAACCATCACTGAACTACACCCAGACTTAAAACTTGGTGCTATACAATCCCAATTATATTTTTCGTACGCCTTCCGCCACACTCTAATTTGCCGTGGATTTTTGCCAGTTTTGAATGACGACTCATCCGTCCAAATAATATTACACCAATCTTCAAACGTCCAACTCTCATAAGCACGTGCAAATGCAAGCCTATCTGCTTTATGTTTGACATTCAAATAGGGCTTTTTAGGTGCTATACAATTTCTAAAACCAAGCTCACGAAGGTAGAGTTGAAGCTCTACCAGAGTATGCCTTCTATTTGAACTGACAGCACGACATAACACTCGAAAATCCCGCTCAGACAACTTCCTGGGTCTGCCACATTGTGATTTCAACGACTCCACACTTCCATGGACCTTCCAATGACTCAAGATAGTTGAAATGGTGGAATAGGGAGCACTGAAGACTTCTGCAATGTCCTTACACTTCATCCCAGCCTTCCTCATCCCCACAATCTGATTCTTCTGCATAGGGGACAATGTTATGTACTTCATGGTGCTTGCTATAAGCCTTCAAACAACACAAACCAACTTCTAGTTTAACAGAGAGGAGTCACTGAAGCTAACGATGTCCAAAACCAAAAAAGAACACTTCTAAAATCTGTATGTGCTTCACAATTTCAATCTGTGGCAGTGCAATGTGCTTCACATCTTCAGATGGATTATATAAGTCACCCCATCCAAGCATTCTATGCTATCACTCCATTTTGCTGGCTGCATGCATGCCTAATTGTAACTATGATTTTTTAGCTCACCTAACCACTTCCACATTAATCATCACATTTGCAATCTGATTTTGAAGACACATGGCTAATTACATGTAATTAGACACCTCTTGCACTCCAAAAATAGATGGCTAAGTATCGGGGAAAGATTCCTTCCAACATGATCATAGCATTCAATTGAACAACAAGATTTTTTCAGCAAAAGTGGTGCTCTAGAAAAAAATTCGAATTATTTCTGTACCCCACTGTACAACTATCATAACCACAATTTGCTGTCACTCAGCACAGATCGGAAATACAAAATGCACAACAGCTCTTTAGCTCGTCAGTGTTGCGTATACTTCAATTATCCTGGTTTTTCATCTCGTGTTGGCAAATGCAGTCATCGGTTTTATTTTCACTAATCTCACAGTCAAGACAAAATTAATACCAATCTTTGATAATAGTAACAGGTTCCGAAAGTTTTCATTCCAACTGTGAGACTTCGTGTATCTTGAGGACAGGACTCACGAATTCCCTCCTTGTCTTGGAAATTCTTTTCAAGGTACGTGTGGATTATTTTCTTTGACGAATTCAGCTGGCGCTGCTCTACCTTGTACAATGTTATGAAGCTTCGGCGTGCAGTGAGCTTGTCACTGTTCTAACAATAATAATAATAGTAGTAATGGAAGTACTTCCTGTATACACTTGTCTCAACAACAGGAAGAGTTGAACATGTCACCAAATTCCTGTTCTCAAGTAGAAACCAACTAGCCTTTCGAAGTGACACATGGAATTTCAGATGTTGGAATCAGTGCTCAAGTGAGAGCACGAAACCCCAGGAACTCCGCTAATGTTGGCGACATGAGTATGGAGAGCTTTTCCATGTATGCAATTCCATATTTGAAAAAACTCCAATTCTTAAGATGACTGAAAAAAGCATCCTTGGCGGGCTTTCGGTTTATAATGCTGTAGACTTGAATTATCTTGCAACCTACTACACTACATATGGACTTTTCATTTGAGTTCATGGAGATTAGGATCAGGACCAGGCCCTTGCCTTCAAAGAAAAGGGTAAGAAAAACAGGAGCGAACCAAACTTGATATCAAAATCACTTACAAACAAACAATCAAACAAAAATCAAGTGATGGGTTTCTCTCTCAATCATGTCGAGCTCCGGCTTCAGACTTCTCTAAGTCCTGCTAAAATGTTAGAAACCAATCCAGTTTTTCTAAGTGTCGGGAAACTTCGTTCTTTGTGATTCTGAACACGTAGATCGACCGAAGATTCGAAGCCTGATTCCATGAGAGTTGTTGCCTTCATTACTGCTATCACTAATTCTAGTTGCTACTTCCTTAGTTGGCAATTCACCCATCTATAATGGGACATCGTAATATCATAAGCATGCAACTTTAGCAGAGTGAAAGGGGGGCCACACGGACGAGATCTAATCCATGGTCGCAATATAAAAAGCAAACTCTTAATACATTATGAAACTTGTTGGCGCTGTCCGAGTGATACTAATGAAACATAAATGCTAAAAATTTCTGGCACGATTTTTGAGGCACAGTTGCTGGAGTGATCAAGTGAAAGCTTCATCCGACGGGATAATTCAAAACAGGAAGACAGATTGCACTCCAGCTTTGATTCGATCACAGATTGCTCCACACTTGTCTACACGATCAATGTAAAGCTGCCTGGAGCTTATCGCATGGTTCCGTCACTGCTGCATGCATGAAAGGCGAAAGTTGACACCTGTTTTTAAAGCCTTACTGATCTGTCTCAGTGCAGATATTTCGTCTTTTATCCATCGCTCCAACCTTGAGAGGCCAAGTGACGCACCTTGCAGGCCCCAGGTAAGCCCATTTCCTTGAACTGGAACAACAATGTAACGAACGCTTTGAGAGATTGCTAACGATCAGGAGCTAAAAAAAACAAAGATCCACGGACCAACAGAGACACGGAAAATACAAAGCTCATCGTGTGAAGTTGAAGTCTGCCTCAACGTATCAGGTGGGTGCTCGTTGGCTCTGCACATTTATGCAATCTTTATTCCAACAAAATTATTAGACAAAAAATTGTAGTAATCTCGAAACAAGGCTCTGGGAAAGCTCGAGTTGCGATGGCATCTGAGAAAAAAGACCCACGACTCTTGCGTAAGTGCGTTTGCATACGAAGAGCTGAATTGCGGCCTTCCATAGAGGGGTCCTAACAACACATGGGGATGATGCACTTCATCGAGATTTCCTCGAGTTGCCTCGAAATGAACATCATATATGAGAGGGTGCTTAGACTGCTGGTGAGGATTGCAAGAGATTTTATTTTTTATTTTTTATTTCTACTTTAATCAGGACAGTGCCACAACAATCCCCCTCCAAGACTCATGAAGTCCATTATCGAAAATTGAACAGCATAATAATAAAGTGAACTGATTCGGCCGACACAGATGCAAAGTGACCCATGGTTGTAATTCACCACACAATCAATATGAAAATGCGTAATTTTTGCCGGAGCTGGATGGAGGAGTCAAAGGGATTTCAGGCAAGTTTAGAGTTTTAATTAGGGTTAGATTAGGGTTTCGTGAATGGCGACCTATGTGGGAAAGGGTTAGAGAATGCTTGGAGGACATTAAGACCCAGCGAGAGGAGGAGCTTCGTGTGTATTCATATACTTTAGGAAGGGCAAGACATGGTGACAGTTATTTTGAGTTGTTAAGAAATTTTACAAATCTCATCTGCCTAATCTTAAATAATTTGAAGTGGATAATGATGTAGTTAAGGTAAAAATGGATTATTTTGTAAACATGTTGAAATGACATGTGTTATTGGAGAGAAGCTTGTATAGAGGCAATTTGTTGAATGATTGAATCAACTTTCATGGATAGTAGAAAGATCACTCATATAAGAAAAATATATATATATATCAATATATATAAATATATATTCTAAAAAAAGTAATTTCGAATTAGTTTTTCATATAATATTGTAAAAAATTAGTGTATATTTTAATTATAGAATCCCAATTATAAATTTGTATTTATCTTAGTTAATTAAAACCTACTATGTTGATTATTGTAACTATCTTTATATACTAGTTATTTATTCATAGGATTCTAATTACAATATAATTTTTTTACAAAAGCTAGAAATAGTAGAAGGTATAATAGTTGTTAAAATCTTCACTTAAATTGCATTTAAAAGATTTCTTGACAAGTTTTACAAATCAATGACAAAGATGGTAATTTATATCAAAAAAGTCTTGGGAGTTGGAGAAGAGAATGATTGTTTAAAGTTCATTGTTGCAAAAACTTTATACTCTTTGATTGAATGACTAGTATATAAAGAGGGTTACAATAATCAACATGGTAGTTTTTATTAGACATTGACAAGAAACCAAGTTGGAAGAATTGACTGCATATAAATAGTAGGTATTAGCAACAATAAAGAAAGTACTTACAAATGAAAGAAAAAAATAAAAATAAAAAATTTATAAATAAAAACTTTACATAAAACTTTAGAGACAAGATCCAAAAAGCCAATAAAGCAACTCATTTGTATTTTTTAAGACACCATCCATTTAAAATAAGATGATTGAAAAACCACTTAAAATTTGTCATAGATTCTTACTAACAATCAGAAGCTTTCTATGTAGAAAAAAATATTTTTTT